TTTCTTGTTATTATTTTTCTAAAATGTCCTCTGTGATTACATACATAGACATATATGTATACGTCTGCATATATTATATAATTTTAAAAATTTAAATAGGTAGTGAACTAGATTCCCTCCGAGCTTTGGTTATGACACCGTACTATCTTAAACATAATCTTTGTCACATGTGTCCCAGGTTTTGTCTGCATATATTATATAATTTTAAAAATTTAAATAGGAAGTGAACTAGATTCCCTCTGAGCTTTGGTTATGACACCGTACTATCTTAAACATAATCTTTGTCACATGTGTCCCAGGTTTTAATTTCCTGAGGTAATAAATGGATCAGTCACTGATATTTTCTATACTCATGTTTTCCAACAGATGATGATTTCATTGACCTCATTCAGTTCATCACCAAGTCTTGCCATTTCTACTTCTAAAATATCCCTTGACTCCACTCACTTCTTTCTTCCACTTTCACTACCTTAGACCAAGCCATCACTCTCTCTTACCTAGCCCATGCAGTAACTTCCAAAATACTCTCCAGTCTCCCATCCTTGCCTGCCATTGAATCCGTTCTCCACGCTGCAGCCAGAATGATCTTAAAAGGTAAATATTACTCTTAAAAGGGAGATATCACTCCCTCCTCAAAAATCTTTCAGTGGCTGTCTGGTGCATGTGGAGTAAAACCCAAATCCTTGACATGCCCTTAGGTTCCTGCATGATTTGTCTCCTTCCTATCTTTTCCATTCACCTGGTGCCGTTCTTCACCCGTTACACTCCAGCAACACAACACGGTCTTTCAGTTTCTTGAAATCCACCAAATTTTTTTCAGTTTCAGGACCTTTTTACAAGCAAATTTCTTCAAGAAACTCTCCCATACCCACTCTGTTTCTCCAGCCTAATTTTTACTCAAGCTTCAGTTCTCAATTTTTATGATACTTCTTCAATAAGACCTTTCCTAACCTTCAGTCTAAACTCATTTTTCCCAATACACTCTCTCATGGCATATTGTAGTTATTTTTCATAGCAGTTGTCTGTTTGTAACTTTTAATGTCTGTAACCTCCCTTAGTCTGTAAGTTCTAAGAAAGAACTATTTTTTTTTCCAGCCATCGTATAGATCCTTAATTCCTAGCACAATTCTTGGTGCATAGTAAAAAAAAAAAAAAAAAAATAGTAAATATCTGTGCAATGAAATACGTTTATCACCAGCTCTATTTAGAGAACTTGAAAAATGGATACTCCCACAGTAAACCTGAATGTGCAGAATATGAAATCAATCTCTTCTTGGTTTTTATTCTTGGCCCAGCCCTCATGGTGAATTAGCAGTGAGGGATATACCCACAAGGTGGCAGCACCTGCCTGGATCTTAGGTCCAAATTCCTAGGCTTTAAAGAAACATGCCCATTTTAGTGAGAGAATTTTGTGCTGGTCGATTTGACAGAATATTGGCTCTCAGGTAGGGAAAGAGCAGAACCAGAAAAATCTGGAATTATGAAAAGCTTCCATCTCTATTACTGTGCATTCCTTATTACCTCAAGAAATTTGAGGGACACAGTGGAGACTTTGGAAAGGAAAAATTACAAGATTTGGAGCCCATAAGATCTGCTTTTGAATCCCAGATCTACCACCTACCGACTCTGTGCCCTTGGGAAGGTACTTGATTTCTCTGAGCTTCTGTTTCCTTTTCTGTAATATGGTTATTACGATATCTGCATTTCAGGATTACGGTGTAAAGCTCCTGTCTCATAGCAGGTGCTCAATAAATTTTAACTTGTTCTTGATTTCTTAGGTATAAGGCCTTCCTCACCAGGGAGCTTATTGTAGGATTTCTTTTGAAGAATCCTAGGGATTGAAAGTCTAGTGTGTGATTTTAGAGATTGCTCTTCCCTAGCTATGTAGGGAGTAGGTGTCCTTGTCTTTTATTCAGGTTCTGAGATTAAAATAAAATAAAATAAGAATCTACTAGCCTACCCAAAGACTGTTACATAGAATTATGTACTGCTTCATCACACCTGCCACAGTCAGAAACCACTTCGGAGAGGATTTCCTGAGCCTTATACTGGTTCAGCTCTGTTTTTCTATGTGGTCCCCTATAAGTTAGTAGTGGGTACAATAGCCTGTGTAGCAGAGATAGCATGTGCTTTCTACTTCCCTCTCCCATGCCCAGAACAGGCTTCATTAGACTGTAGCAACATTTCTCAATGAGTCTGGATGTGATCTGGAATCTTCATCATGGAACTCTGGATAGCCACTACCAGTGAGTTGGCATTGGCTTGCGAGTTGAATCTAATTTTATATCCATGCCCTAAAGAATTGGAACAAGTCAAGTATCTTCTCTAGACCCTGAAAAATGGCAGCCATTTAAATTTATCTAATTCTAATGCATTGGTTGGTATCATTATTATATGTATAGTAGTAACACTATGGGACCTTGAATTAAATCACCTCTCTTTCCAGGGAGTACCATGATACTACATGGTGCTGTACTTTCTCACACTTTTCTCTAGAGAGCTTAGTTCCCTCTCACTCATCCAAAGGATTTTGTAATACAAAAACAAACAACTTTGCAGGGCGCCCAGAACATGGCCCCTTAAGGCAGGGGCCTTACCCCAAGCTCTAGTGTCCCCTAACCAGTGAAGCATTTCAAAGAGATTACAGTGTTTATGAAGCCAGAGTCCCACAGTTCCAGATGTGGATACACATTCATTTATTCAACAAATACTAGCATGTATTGAGTGCCTACTATGTGGCAGGCACTGTTCTAGGCACTGGGAATATCAATAAACAAAACACCCCTCCTGGAACTTGTATTACGGTGAATGGGTTTGCAGTGGTGAGCTTTCCCCAAAATAGCATGCAGAGATGTACTCACATGTGTTCCCTGCCTTCAGATGTGCTCTGTGCTTTAGGATTTGTGTAATATCTCCTCAGCAGTTTTTTTTTCATTTGGGGCGCTCTTTTGTCTCCTTTTTATCAATATGAAGAGATTGAGGTTCAGAGAAGTCGATTAACTTTCGTAGGGCTACATGGCAAGTAAGTGGCAGAACTGAATCTTGATCCTAGAACTGGTGACCTCTTTGAGGACTCTATTATGCTACCTGGATTTAGGTTAAGCTCAAAATTCACTTCTTTGTCCATTGGATGATTGGAGCTCCATAACAAATGGGGCCCACCAGAAGTTTTATTCACATTCTCTTGTTCGGCACACAGTAACTAAATTTCTTGTCTATGGACCATGCCATTTTAGGAAAATACAAGTATCTTTGTCTGATAACACTTGGTGTCCACAGCAATGTCTCTCCTTTTCCCTTTTAAACATATTGACACACATATGCCTGTCCTGGAAAGATAATTAAGCTGAGAACAGGTTTGTATTCCATTTTTCTCACCATGTTGTATCTCAGGTTCGAATTGCTACAGAAGGAATCAATGGGACAGTTGGTGGAAGCAAATTGGCCACCAGTCTCTATGTGGAAGTCATGCTTTCCAGCCCATTGTTTAAAGACTATCTGTGTAAGGACGATTTTAAGGTAAGAGATATTGAAAATAAAATTGATCTAGAGCCATCTGCTTCTGCCTCAGTGCAGGTTAGAAGAGGGTCAACGTAGATAAATAAGCAGTGCAAGATAAATACCTTTCCCCTTTATGTTACAAGGCAGTGCAATAGAAGGAGCACTGAGTCACCCCGTGATCTTGGGCAAGTTGGTGTCTCTCCGGACCTCAGTCTCCCCTCTTATAAAATAAGTATGTTACAGCTTACACAATCTAATACTCTAAAACATGGACGTGTTTGCTTACTTGAAAGACCACCTGGTAGTTTTAGCTGCTCACTGTGTTTTTAGTAAACCTGGAATTGTAAGACTAGCACTTCACACCACACGGAAATAAAGCTGTTGCTCTCACAACTGAGCTGCTTTGTTTGAGTGACTTTATGTTTTATCATAATAAGTCATAAGGTGATGGGAAATGCCTTTCTAGTGTTTATGCTGGTGATGGTAGGAAAAGAAAGGTCATTGCTCCGAAACAAAAGTTGGGTTATAATCAGCGTTGGAATTGCTCAATGGTGCTTCAGTTTTATAGTTAAATGCTTGTAGCCAGAGAAACACCTTTTTAATTTAACATTCCTGCACGTGGTAGGTACACAGTAAATATTTATTAATGTGTATTCTCTGGAGCATTCTGGGCCCTAATTCTCTTTTCCTGGTAAGGTTTCCTAAATTTTTTTTTTTCCCTGATTTGAGGTTTCTTAAGATTTAAGCTACCGTTATTACAAAACAGACCATAATTTTTAATCTGGAGCATTCTGGGCCCTAATTCTCTTTTCCTGGTAAGGTTTCCTAAATTTTTTTTTTCCCCTGATTTGAGGTTTCTTAAGATTTAAGCTACCGTTATTACAAAACAGACCATAATTTTT